CACACACACACACTCGAGCTCACAGTCACTGGTGATCCAGAACTCTGCTGAACACTTTTCACAGTCACCAGTGTGTGGATCTCCACAATGCACGCACACACACTCTGCCTTGAGGGTGGGGCATGTGGGTGGACCACTAGGATCCAGTTTGATGAACAGGGAGTTGGGGTCACCATAGTTGAAAACAGGGGAGGATTTGAACGAGAAAACACAGAAATAAAACAGCTGGAAATTTCCATACTTTGCATATCGAATGAGCAGGCTGGTTCAGAGCAAATATGAAAACAGCTTGGAGCAAGACTGCGCCACTTGGGACATAAAGAGGATTTCCTGAAATTGAAGGTATTTGGTTGGAGAGGGGCAAATGACGTGATGTATGGTTCCCCTATTTCTGATCTTCTGGGCCTGTCCTTTCCCCGTGGAAGGACGGTCATTTCCAGATTCTGCCACTAGGGGCCGCCACATGGGCCTTTAACTGATGAACACGAAGGAATATAAAATAGTCTCACTAATGGCATTCTTCACGAATTATTTGCAACGCTACTTCTGGTGGGGGTTTAACTAGTGGGGTGTTAGTGTGCGTAAGGGTGTGTCGCTGGGAAATAACTGATGATCAGGCGTTCATCGTCTGGCTGAGAGGATAGTAGTTTAAAGCACTTTCAGTAACAGAAGATGAAGTTCTGCTTTCTGATGTATTATTAGATAGAGATCTTCTCTTTGGTTGTGGTAAGACCTTTTTAAAAAAAACAGGAAGGAAGGGCCCCCTGGACTGGTCTGATTTCTGTGTGACAGTATCGACAGCCTCGCTGCCAGAACCAGGGACTTCTCACACAATAGCAACAGGACGCTGCCCACTGGCCCGCGTCCGTCAGAGAGGATGATGGGATAGGAGGCGGGAGCACCGAGATTCGCACTCACCCGGGGCACCGGTTTCCCATGACCACCCACGCTGTGCTCGGTGAGCTGTGGAGCCAGAACACGAGACAGTCTTTACCGTAGCCACGCACTCACACGTGCTGTCCCACTCTCTCAGGGCGCCCCGGGCCCCACACAGGCTCTCCAGCATCACCGCGAGATGGAGGAGGTGCTGAGGACGCCTGAGCCGAGCCCCCGCCTGGACCTCTCCCTGCCCCGCTCCCGCAGCAAGAGGACAGAGCCGACGGGTAGCTTCTGATTCACGTCAGAGTTTACCAAGAGAAATTAGGACTGTAGACTCTAAACAAACAATGCCAGCAGCCATATCACCCTGCAGCTCCCAGCTGGCAGCCCCACTGGAGCTCAGCAGGTGTGAGCCTGG